AATAGTTGAAGGCTTTAGCTATATGTTCCGATCTACTGCGCATAGAAGTGAGTCTGCCCCTGTACACATTCCGCTCAAGAACTGCTGCTGCCCTGCCACTTAGCTCCATGAGGTTTAGGACGAAAACGGAGATGGGCATGCTTCTCGATGGGTTTGAGGATTCGAGAAGGCTTATTATCGTTGGGACGTTGTCTTGACTGTGGACACATACGAGCATCCGCAGATCATTTTTAGGATTTGAGTACAAAACGCTGTTTGTCTGGTATGAAGAGTACCTTCTTGATGGGTCATAAAGGAAAGATAGCAAAGGTCTAGCGATTCCTGTTGTCACTATCATTGAAATCAACAGAAGTCCATATGCTTCCTGGTCTATCATCTGCACAAAAAGGAAAATATATGTTATAACCATTCGTGGACGAAAAGAATGCAACTCTTATGTGATGTTGGGAATGTTAGCTACAATCAAGATGATCACTGTAATTTTAATTAAATATGCCTTCCGATCAGTTGTGCGCCTTAGGCTGTAGCGCACATGCCGTCCCAAAATATAAGCAACCAGATCAACCCATAAGCTAAGTCTAGAGACAGCATACTGGAAACTCTAAACACGTTCAAGTAGACAGGTCAACCGTAGGATTTTACCTAGAGCTCATTCAGGCTGACCGACTCAGTGTAGTTGGATAGGGTTTGGGTTTAATTTTTTAAACGCCTACCCTGTCTAGACTCATGCTTTGTAAGAGAATCATGCGCTTGGGTAGAAAGGGTTTGATTTTCTACTACTCATACCCAAATTCAGATTCAAACCATACTCTTATATACTGCCATACATATCCATGTATAAATTACACACACATATATACAATACATTTATAAAATAGTCTAATATTCTATGGATATTGGATTGAATATAATAAAACTTCATGACAATTAGGAATAGTTGATAAAATTGTTCTTTGAGTTCACAATATTACATTCAACTTCTTAAATGTTATTTTATTATTTGAAAATAAAAATTGGGTGGTATATGTTATTTTTGAACTCTATATAATTTTAAAATATTTTTACTTTAGTTCTTTACCGTATGTTCAAAAAAATCCATTGGATACCTAAAAACATGAAGGTCCGAATCTAGTTTACTTTTTCAAACCCATAAAAGTTTAGATTTGAATTTGAGTTTAACTAAATTTAAATATGGATCAAAGTTATCTAATCCAAACCCTACCTACTACCTATTGACGCGCCACATCTCAAGCGAGTAAGATGTTGACAGGATTGATGATTAATTCCCCACGAGACAAGTGACGCTTGGGATCCTTTAGTTTCCTAAATTGGGCAATTTCGACTTCCCTGTAATTGCAGTCACCGGTAGGAGAAGTATTATTCGTTGCTCAAATTAGTTAACTGAGTCAGGAGTACACTTATACCAACAGCAATCAAATTTTTTTTTTTTTTTTTTTGGACATGACAATAATTCAGGTTAGACATTCTTCATTTGGTATGATATATATGGCAGTGAACAGTGAAGAAGTGCAGTGAACAGTGAAGAGAAAGCAAACCTGATCTTCCTTCAGTATGATATATATGGCAACCTCAATGATCCCTTTGCAACACATGACCAAAGCAAGACTCACAGCATCCCTTAAGGGCGTTTGAAAGTAGAGAGCAGAAAGTAGGACACCAGTGAACTTCCCCAAGTAGCCCAGAATGATGACTGCCGAGTAAATGAGGGCTGAATTATTTGCTGCTATTGAGAAGAAGTCCGTATTCAAACCAGTAACTGCAAACTTCGCTGGAAGTAACAAGCCGGTACAGATTGTGTCAATCTTCTGTACCAAATATGATCCCACAGGTGGCCCGTCGGGTATCGCCATGCCGAAAATAAAAGCCCCAATCCCAGCAGGCACACCAATCAGCTCCGTGAAAAAACCACATCAGGGTTGTTATCATGATACTTAGAACTGGATCTCTTTCAATGGTTGCCCATCCGGCATATGCCTAGCCACATGTAACATCCATGGCCTAGCAATATATCGATAGAGCACAAAAAGACTCGTGGCCCATGCAACATAATACATTGCATACCATTGTTTGTGCCGTATGATCGAGCTCATTACGGTAAGCAACGCATACACAGTATAGTTGCAGCATTCGTTGACCGAACATGCAAGGTTGCAGTTCTTCCGACATCTGAATTGAGAATGTTGAGGTCCGCAAGAAGGCTAGTAATCACCGGGAAAGAAGACAGCGAATTGATGGTTACTATTCGCAAGATGGACTCTTGAATTGATCCATCGAACTCCATCATATGCGGAACGACAAAAGCCGCTATTATCCCAATGTGAAAGGCAATACGAAACCTGTAAGCCCAATTGCTACTGCATCTCTTCCTGTCTTTTTCACCATACTCGGATCACGCGTATTCCTAGAGAAACAAATGAAAAGTAGCGCAAATCTGCCAGAGTCTCAAGAGGTAATCTACCACCGGAGGAAAAAGCTGCTTTGAGAGGTTTGACCGTCCTAAAAAAGACTCCCCCAGTATAATTCCAGCCTGTTGGCATTCAATCAAACAAAAAATATATATACATTAAAGCTTGGCACCTGAATTTCATTCAAAACAGTCAAAATTCATTGAAAAAAAGAGTGAGATGCGAATACTGATCGAAAACAAAGGTTGATCAGAACAATACAATTAATCGGTAAATTGCCTCCTATGTATCTACGTAGGACCATTCTAATGCATGTCAAACTTTTTGTCAATGGTGATAGTCATTTAGGCCAACGCAGTATGTTAGTAGTAATCTTTATCAGAGTTACCACATATGTGGTAAATAAAATGGGATGGGCTGGTAGATATCAAGGTACATTGAAAAAAAAACAGTGTGCTCATATTCATCACCTGTTTTGTATCTGGGAACACAACAGCACCTATACCGGGATCAATGCTCAGGAGTGTCTCCTATTGGGGTGGCCAAAAAATTTGTCAAGTGCTGACAATGACAATATATGAGACTCAACTCTTGGACCAACAAACGAATATTGGTGCAAAGATTTTCATGTCAAGAAACATTAATTCTAATTACGTGAATCAAGCTAAAACACACAATGTGCATCTGCCAGAAATGAACAGAGGCTTGAGCTTACAATAAGTTGGGCACTGAGCATACTTTGTTTAAATGGTTCCAGGAGGATGTAAACTGTTCTTGAAAGCAGGAATGCAACAGAGAGTTGGGCTAAAAGGACCGGTAGGGTGAACGAAAATGGATTACGCCAGACCACACAAGCCCTTAGAATTCATCATATCTGTAAACTGGCAAACCAACAGTTCTTGACGATAGCTTCCAGGGACCGATCCTGAAACGGAGGACACTATTCTTGGTGCCATTTTTTTTTTTAACTATGAATCCAGTGAACAATTCCTACACGAGAATTCGAGGAATTAAGAGGATCAAAATGAGAGAAAAAGAAAGAAAGAAAGAAATTTGTTAAAGAGTGAGAGGAAGGTGAGCAAGATGGAAATGAAGGAAATATTGGAGGAGCGTAAGAACGGGGAAGTTTGTTAGTAATCCCCAGTAGTATGTCTCTTTTTATATCTTCTATTTTTGTATTATCAAATAATGATTTCAGATGTAAATTCACAATAGTATAGTATTTTTTTTTTTGAACTTGCTTGGACTTCGAGACTAATTCTTTCTGAAAATTGTTTATTATTGAATGTTATAGTTTGACCACAAATGCCAGGAATTAAGATGAAATATTAAGCATAACTATAACAACAATAACAACAACTTAACATGTTTAATTAAAATTTTATGGGCAACATATATATTGTGTTGGCCATGCAAAATGGATAATTTTCCGAAAAGTGCTGCCCCCCGCCAGAATCTTCCTCCCTCTTGGCCTCTTTTTTTCCATCACTGTTCTGTTGGCTCAAAACTATTGTACAGTAGTACCTTATAGTAATTTGTAGCACTCGACTCCAGCATGGAAGAGCCTCCATTCCGCAAGCTTTAAAAAGGTGATTAAAAGATTAAAAAAAAAAAAGTGATTAAAAAGCGTGTTTGTGATGACAGTAAAATGATATTTTAAATAAGCTTGATATCCATAAAATTTTCATCCAAGTAGCCACTCTTTTTACTAAGGTTGGGTTTTACATTGCAGACCAATTTCTTGGAATATTCACAACATAATTGATACGCATAAAGTTGCTTTTTGGTCCATTTTTGGACCTGTGATACAAAAAGTTGCTTTTGTAATAGACTAGTAGTATTTCCTCATTTCAGTTGTAGGTGAAATATGGGACTCTTGCTGCTCCGGTGCCCCTTGCATATCCGTTTGCTTTCGCTTTTTAGCTGAATTTACAGCATCCCAGATCAACTTGACGTTAGAAAGGCAAGAGGAGGAGGGTAAAAGGAAGTGAGGACCTTCCCTCTTTTTGGCTTTTCTACCAAAACTACTCTTTTTACATCAGTTCAGCAGTGCATGTTCCTCTGGCAGAAAGGCTTCTCTGGGAGGACAAAAACCCACGAGCCAAACATAAAAGATTCGCAATCTCTAATGCTGCATCGTCCTTGCTCTTGCAAATGCGGTAGCAAAGGCATGGCCTATAACTTGATTCGTCTTAAATGTGTTGATTCCTCAGGATCCTTGAGACCCCATAATTTGGTCTGCTGTTGCACCACCAGCACAGAAGCTTCACCTCTGAAATCTGAGGCAGCAAATATTTCTCCTATTGCCCCCAACTCTCCACGTTGGTTCCATTTTCTGAGTTCAGACATGATCGGTGAGTTCCCATGGCGCCTTCCGACCATAACCAGGTCATAGGAACTACCCACCCTTCTGGTTATAGACAGCACATCCTCTCCACTTGTGGCCACATACTCTTGGGACAAAATTTGCCTCTTGATCTGCATTTTAAGCTTGATGCCACCTAAAATTTCAGCATCAAGCATCTTGCTCCTTTCGGTACCTCCTACTATGCCTGTCGAATTTGAGCCCCTAAAATGGACACATCCATTTTCCTCACAGTTAGGCCATCCGTTGCCCAACCGAAAGTACTCTTCTCCCCGTTTCTTCCCCCGAACCCGCTCCGCCTTTCCACCACACCAGCTTACCACCAGAGCCGTCGCCGCCGTCGTTACCGTATACCCACAATCCGCTCCGCCAGCATACCCACCTCACTGTCCGCGTCATCATCTTCAGACCAGCCCATCAAGGCCATTGAGCCGGATGTATTTGGGGGAAAGAAAGAGCTCACGGGCTTCCAAGCCCTGGTGGATGCAATGTCGCCGACCGTGAGAATTGCAAGCTCAGCCCTTATATTTGCTGGTGCTATTGCTGCTGGATATGGACTTGGGTCCAAGTTTGGTGGGTCCCGCAACGTGGCCATGGGTGGGGCCGTGGCTCTTGGCACTGCTGGTGCTGGAGTGGCCTACGCATTGAATTCTTGCGTTCCTGAAGTTGCTGCTGTCAATTTGCATAATTATGTGGCTGATTTTGATGACCCTGCTGCCTTGAACAAGGAAGATGTTGAAGCAATAGCAAATAGGTAAGTTGGGGCGGTTCAAAATTTTGTTTTGAATGGTCTTGTTTGCTTGTTTCCTTGGTTTAGCTATTTCTATTTCAAAAATTGTGTATAAAGAAATTCAAAGTATCAGTCTGTGGAAGGGTCGCCTCAAGTTTTGATATTTCTTTTGTTCGTATTGTGGAGTAATACTTGTTTATTAAGGTTCTACATCATGATAAATTCACAATATCTGGTGATTGAACACTCGTACACTGGTAGATATTGTGAATTGAAATACTTCAGGGGTACCAAAAGCTGATAATGGGAACGGTGAATTTGTTCTAAAAGTTTCTTACTTTTAGTTAGGATTGAGTTGAACCAAGGAGGCTTTTCTGAAGAACACAAGTTTGTTTTGCAATTGAGAATGGTTTTTGATTTCATTTTGCTAATCACCGTCATTTTAGATCAGAGAATTCGCTGAGATACAGCAATTAGGTCAGCTTGAAAGTACTCATCGCCTTGCTATGCTTAGCCGTATTCTATCCCATTGGTTTGGCACTTTGGCTGCCCTGCTAGAGTGTATTAGCTTAGCTGCTTGTGCATTTTATAGGCCAGATTAGGCTGCTTTGACTTTCTGTCTGGCATCCACTTTCCTTGCCGGAAACGAACTGGTGTCATGTTTGCTCAGGGAATGCAGAAAGCATGTGCTGATGTGCTATGTATGAGCTGTGTTTTATTTTCATCTTGGTTTTTTAGTTAATTTTATCTTGTCTTGGTTGCATATTTTGCACTTTTTCAGTTTTTGACATTGTGCTGTCACTAGTATTAGTTAGTCACCCAATAGTATGTTCTTTGTTTTATTTCTAATTTCGCACATCTTTTCAGATATGGTATTAGCAAACAAAATGAAGCCTTCAATGCAGAGCTTTGTGATATATATTGCAGGTGAGTATAGAAATTCATTCTATAAAAGTAGCTGTGATAATTAATCTTTTCGAGTCATTTCTCCTAATGATTAGTATTCTTGCCTGTTGTCAGTTTGGATTAATTTCTGTTAGGAAAGAGAAAACTGTATTACTACTATTAGTGATTGTAATGATCTGTATGTTCTTCGGGTTCTCTTTGATCTTAACATGTCGCTTTGATATGAAAATAATGGAACTATATATTTCGATTTGCATTATGCAATTCAAACTTTTCAGATATGTGTCTTCCATCCTTCCTCCGGGAAATGAAGATCTCAAAGGTGACGAAGTTGAAACAATCATCAAGTTTAAGAATGCATTGGGTATCGATGATCCAGATGCAGCAGCTATGCACATGCAGGTAAGTATGATTGTTCTTTTGATTTTATTATGAAGGATGTGAATCTTTCCATTGCTAAGTTTGAATGGAGAGGTCATATTTCCTTTTGGTTGGAACTAATTTAACTGTTAATTTCTCAGATTGGTAGGCGAATTTTCAGACAAAGGCTTGAAGCTGGAGACCGTGATGCTGATCTGGAGCAGCGTCGGGTATGTTGTTGCTTTGATACATCTACTAAGACGGTTAGTTAGCAGGTGGTCAGGTCTATAAAACAAGGTTTGGAACTTGACCGTTCTCAGTGTTTCCGGTGCAGGCATTTCAGAAGTTGATATATGTTTCAACTCTTGTGTTTGGGGAGGCATCTTCTTTCCTTTTACCTTGGAAACGAGTTTTCAAAGTCACTGATGCACAGGTATCTAGTTTGTTCATGTTTTTCCGCGGAGTTCTATTCCTGTTAACTTGCAAAGTTTTGATCTTTGCTATTTTTCTCATGTAATATGCTTTACTATTAAGCATCATTTGGTCTTCTGAAGGCACTGTGAACAGAGCTGGCATGCCTAAGGTTGAATTTATTTGCCATGTTTTAATGTCTTTAATGTTCTTGTTCATTAGGTTGAACTTGCTGTTAGAGACAATGCACAGCGGTTGTATGGCTTCAAGGTTAAATCAATTGGTCAAGGTAACTGCTGAGTTTCTCCTGCTTGCTTGATGTGCCTTTACTTTTGTAATATTTGACATATATTTGTGGCAGGGAATGTCCCAAATCGACATGTTTTTCACTTTGTATAACAAACATTGCCCAAGCAGAAATATACAGTAAACTTCACTAGTGTATTCCTTTCATTTTCATGTTTATACAAACTGTGGTGAATAATCAGCTCAGAAAAGCAAAATTTTATGCTTTAGTATAATCTTCAATGCAATATTTTGTGTTAAACTTTGAATTTCTAATAATTGAAGCTGTTTCAACTTCAAATGCAAAGGTCTGGCTTTTGATCCTTCTATGAAATCAAAGGCTGCCATCTAAGCTTGGAAGGATAAAAAAGGTTAATTTACTTTGTATTTTCTTGTTTCATTCTAAAATGATTGATTTCCTTCCATATTCATATGGAAATGGCTTGGAAAACGTGCAAATGTTTTGATCACGTCTTTTGTATTTGTAAGTCCTTGGCTTTCATGATGGACTGGTCTTATTTGAACTCTGATCGGTTTGCTAGTATCCAGACTTATTTCAAGATATATTCTCTAATTTTACTTTCTTAAGAGGTTTGCTTATCCGCTTTTGGGTCTGGTTATTTCCATTTTGCTGCTTGTTTTTAGAGTCATTGGATGAGCCGCTGGGTTTTTCAAGTTGTCTTGCCATACTGTAATTTAGACAAATTGCACTTGCTGCTCTTCTGTATTAACAAGAGTTGGAATTTTTGTTAGATTTTAATGTTGACCAGCTGGTTGCCCTCAGAGAAGCACAGCTTGCATATCGGCTTTCAGATGAGGTACTGCCATCTGTATATTTGATCTTATGTGCAATTGTCTGGCATGTTACAAAAACAAGACATATAGTATTTCATATGAATGTTGATATCTTTTTTTGGCTCATCGCTTACCCTTCTTTTGCAGCTTGCTGAGGATATGTTTAAAGAGCTTACAAGGAAGCTTGTAGAGGAGAATATATCAACTGCTCTTAACATATTAAAATCCAGGACAAGAGCATCGTATGTATTTTTTCCCTTCTTGATTCTTGGTAATAGAAAGGATGAGAAGTGCATGGTCAGAACTAGATAGTCTGTAGGAGGTAAACTTGCATCTATGCAGAAAGTTAGAATTAATAGGCATCCTTTTAACACACTTTTAAGAATCCCTAGTTTTTAGTGAAGATGAGTTTTCAAACTTTTATGGAACAAGTCAGTAAGAAAATGTGGGTTTGGCCAACTATGGTTATCAGTGGTGATATCTTTCACTGTTTTTCTTTTCCTTGTGTCAGCTTGTAGAATCATTTTCACGAAAACCTATTTGGGTACCTGCAGGGAAGCAACTCGTGTTGTTGAAGAGCTGAATAAGGTGCTGAAATTTAATAATTTGCTTATTTCGCTGAAGAACCATCCTGAAGCCAACCGTTTTGCTCGGGGAGTTGGGCCAGTTTCTTTGTTAGGTAAGGAGGATGCTAACTGCTTTCCACTTGTCTGCGCAAATGATAATGTGGCTTTCTTCTTTTTCCTTGTTTTCGTTGTTATTTTTGTTTTGTAATCGATTGCAATTTTGGACCTTGGTTCTTTCAATGTATACTGTTTAAACTTTCAGCTGAAGTTAATGTGACATTATTGCCTAGGTGGGGAGTATGACTCTGACAAAAAAATAGATGACCTAAAGCTCCTATACAGAGCCTATGTCCGGGACTCATTATCAAGCGGTCGGATGGAAGAAGATAAGGTGCTTAAGTGACCTCATTCCTTTGCAAACACGTGCAATCTGTATGTGTGTGTGTGTGTGTGTGTTTGTGTAAGTACAGAGACAAAATATGCAGATTAACCTATAAATTGTTATACTCAAACTGCAATGGTTCATACCTGCATTCTTTTGTTTGTATAACTCTTGGTAGTGTTAAGAGTTCTGAGTTTTACGGAATGATGCTTTATGCCCTGTCTCATGGAGTGAGGACTATCATTATCATGCGTGCCCAGAACAGATTTCTCACGTGTGGCCTCGCATTGGCACAAATTTGTTTCATGAACAATTTTTGACTGCTAATGAAACACATGAGTTGCATGCTTGTCTCCCACCTGACCCCTGCAATCCTTGCCCCCCTTTCTTTTTGATCTTCTTTCCTTTGCTTTGTACTGCAAATACTTTTCTGCTCAAGATTCTTGAGTATAAAATGTATGTTCGGGTATGGGGACCTGTTAAATTTACAACTGAGACAATCCAGAATTTCTTTCATGACATTTCGTAATTGGCAAGCTTGTTGCTGACTATCAGAGCTCATGTATGACAAAATTGTGGATTGCACATTAAAGCTCATAACTGTGTGTAAGATGTTGCAAAAATGCTGGCCAAAGCTAGAGCACATTCAATGATATTTTGTGTACATAAATAGTTTAAAGATTGGGTGCAAAGGAAGGCTTTATTTCTGGAGATGTAAGACTGTTGGTGTTCAGGGAACAAGATTTTATTTAGTCAGTGGCCACATCAATTGTCAGATGTAAAATATCAGTCAAAACGTACTTTATTTGAGTGGTATACTTCCATTTGGAAGTCAAGCCTTCACAGAAATGACAGGAACCCTTGGGGTTGAAACATAAAATGGAGAGTATTGAAAGAAAGAAAGGAAGATAGAGTGAAAGATAGCTTTTTCTGGACGTTGTTTGTCAATATTACATGTTATTGTTTTTTTTTGTGTCTATTGACATTGACTTTCTTTTCTACTGCAGCTCACTGCACTGAACCAGTTGAGGAATATTTTCGGTTTAGGTATGCGAGAAGCAGAATCGATTAAACTGGAGGTTACCTCAAAAGTGTATCACAGGCAACTTGCTCAAGCTGTATCTAGTGGTGATTTAGCTGCTGCTGATAGTAAAGCAGCTTATCTTCAGAACCTCTGTGAAGAGTTGCAGTTTGATGCGGAGAAGGCCGTTGAGATCCATGAAGGTAATAGTGGTTCAAATAAGTGACAGCTCTCCTGTCTTTGCAACTTGCACGGGCTGGTTAAATATAAATATTCTACTATTTCCTTTAAAAATCTATCATGACATGCTTTTACTTTAGTGACTGTATGCTCTATGGTATAGGTCGCCATTAACAATTTGCAGAAAGTTCTCTTAAATGTATATTTCCTAATATAATAGTTGAGCAACTTGTCAAGATCATGTTTTTTATTTACAGAAATATACCGGCAAAAGCTTCAGCAAGCTGTAGCTGATGGAGCACTAAGTGACGAGGATGTTAAAGTGTTGGAAAAGTTACAGATTATGTTCTGCATTCCAAGGGAAACAGTTGAAGCAGCTCATGCAGACATCTGTGGTAGCTTATTTGAGAAGGTAACCACTGTTTGAATTCCATTGGTGTCGTTCTCTGTGATCAGATTGGAAGTACGGAAAACAGATGGAAGGCCATTTCCATCAGGGATTAAACTACCTGATCTTCCATTAATTGTACATGGCTTGGCTGGTAAATTGGTAGAAAAGATAAAGTGTGCATCTGGCAAGCGTTTAAAATACATATTGATGCTCATAACTGGTAAAGTGTTTTTCAATCTTTACAACCTTGATTAGAGATGAGAGTCAGTGAGATTGCTGATGAATGATGGAGTCATAAAGTATCAACATGTTATGACTAAAGTAATGATGCCCTTTGTGTGCTTATTGGGAGAAACACTGCCACCTTGTTTTCCAACAAAATGCTTACTTGTGGCTTTCTCAAAATGGTATTAAAATTTTCAGAATGTGTAGCTTTGAGAACTTCTAGTGTATTGTATTCATGTTCCAGATATAGGCCCTATTGTCTTGAATCGAAGATTTTTTTCTATATAGTTGCAATATCTACAGTTATAGTGGCCCGATTCTTTTTCCAGGTTGTTAAGGAAGCAATTGCCGCTGGAGTCGATGGATATGATGCTGAAATCAAGAAAGCTGTGAGAAAGGCTGCATTTGGTTTACGCTTAACTAGAGAGGTTGCTATGAATATAGCTAGCAAGGCAGTAAGTATCAGATCCTGGCTACATTTCACTTTACTTATTGCTTCAGAACCTTTTGTTTTATTGAACAAGCCCCGTGTTCTTCTGGTGTCAATCACGGTAATACCAGTAATAATTGCCCTCCCATTTGCACTGGGTATGTTCAGGTCCGTAAGATCTTTATTAGTTACATCCAAAGAGCACGAGCAGCTGGTAGCCGCACGGAATCTGCAAAAGAGCTCAAAAAGATGATAGCTTTCAACAGCTTGGTTGTGACAGAATTAGTGGCAGATATTAAAGGCGAATCATCTGATACTCCACCTGCAGAGCCCCCTGTGGAAAAGGAAGAAAAAGTGGTTGATGAGGGTGAGGATGAGGCATGGGAGTCGTTGCAGTCACTTAGGAAAGTAAGACCTGGTAAAGAAAGTTTGGCAAAGAAAGGCCAGACTGAGATAAACCTTAAAGATGACCTACCAGAAAGGGATAGAACTGATCTTTACAAGACATATCTGCTTTATTGTATAACTGGAGAAGTTTATATCCCTCTGGGTACCCAATTCACCACAAAGAAGGGTGATTCTGAATATGCACTGCTGAACCAACTGGGAGGCATACTTGGCTTGACTTCGAAGGAGATTGTTGAAGTACATAGAAGCTTAGCGGAGCAGGCCTTTAGGCAAAAAGCAGAGGTGATTTTAGCAGATGGACAATTGACAAAAGCCCGAATTGAGCAGCTCAACGAGTTGCAGAAGGATGTTGGCCTGCCGCCACAGTATGCACAAAAGATTATAAAGGGCGTCACAACAACTAAAATGGCAGCAGCTCTCGAAACGGCTGTTGCACGGGAGGCTTAGCATAAAGGAAATTTGGGAACTGAGAGAGGCTGGTGTTGAATTGGATACACCATGATTTCCAAGAGCTTAAGAGAGAATTGTAGACACTAAATTTTTGTCAAATTTTAATGTTTTTTTGAAATTTTTTTATTTAATGAGTTATTTATTGTCTTGTATTTTAATTTTTTTTTTCTCATTTTTGTAGTTTTATCTTAAGAAAAAAAAAAGAAAAAAGTCAAAATCAAAAGCAAAAATAAAAAATCAAACTAAACTTACACATTTTCATTCTTTTTCTTGCTAAAACAATTTTTAACCCATTTTACACTTAATTATCATGCACCTTTCTTCTCATTAGTTGAGAAAATCATCATTTTGGCAAAATTAATACACAAACTCCATTTTTTGGCTCCCAATATACATCTTTCGGTCTTGCTCTTCTTTTTGCTTGGAAGTCAAGACATAACAAGGAAGACAAGAACCAACTTACCCCTCCCATGTCACTCTCGGCTCTCTGTTTTCTTTCAACTAGACAAACACATACAAAAAAGCTGTAAAAATGGAATTTTGTAAAAATGGTTAGCCGAATTATCAATAAAGCTGTAAAAAAAATTAAACTTGTCAGTATTTAACGAGGATTTCTACTTTGATTTCTATATTCACTTACAAGTTTGAAATAAGGATTTTACCGTGAAGGCATTGCATCATGTTAGGCCGACCCTGACATAAAAAGAGTTTCTCCATAGGACATGCATCCGAATTATTTAAATATCTACTAACTCATGTTTTTTTTCCTTTTTCTTGAATAAATTACAGCAATTTGACACAAAATCCATTCCTAAATCAGTTTCTTTTCTCCACTATCAGGCTCTGTTTTAAAACTCGGACCGGACCGGCCGGTCGAACCGGGAACCGGCCAGGTAGCCGGTCCGAGTCATATTAAAAAACCGAAAATTTAAAACCCGGTCAAAGCCGGTCAAAAACCGGGTTTGACCGGGAAAAAATCGGTTTTTCCGGTTCAACAGCAATTTTTTTAAAAAAAAAATTCAAACTTTTTAATATTATGTTTTGACCCTCTAAATTGTTAAAACTTGTTGATATACCTCAAATATTTGATACTTTATAAGTATTGTCCTCAAATTTGATGTTATTTTTCAATTAAATTCATAATTTTAATTCTAAACTTGTTAATATTTATTAAATAATATAAATTGCTACTTGATTGTTCTAATTTCTTTGTTATTTCTTGTTAAATATATTTGAAACATCAAATATATATGAATATACCTTTATTAATATCAATATATTATTAGATATTATATATATAATATTTTAATTTTTAAATAATTTTTATTTATGACGTCATCCGGTTCGACCCCTATCGACCCCCGGTCGAACCCATTGACCCCTGATCTCGGCCGACTCACTATCCGGTCCGGTTCTGAAAACATAGCTATCAGGTATTTTCCACAATAGTTACTCGAAAAAATCCCATCATCACCAGATCCCGAAGTAGAGCCTTGAGACAGCCTGTAACTTGAGTTCAGTGCCAGAAACTTTGGAAAGATTTGCTATAGTTACGTCACCGGATTTCATAGCATTGGGAGCTCAATTAAGTGAGGTACTTGGTAAGTTCAATAAGTTAAATGCTAAAATGGCCGCACAAAGGCGTGTAATTGATCAGTTGGTCGCAATCAACAATGGTGATGGTGTCTCGAACAACCAAGAACCTGTCAATAATCACTCGTTTGCACAAGACCATCAACCACCCCACACATCCAATACCCAAATAACTTTCATTCCTCCTTTCGCTAATCCTCTTGAAAATAACTTTTTCCGACTAAGTTCAGACCTTTTCTATATGCATTCAAATTATACATTGATGAACCCAACCAGTAGTCAAATCCCTCAAATCCATCCACAAACTATTCTGAACATTCCCCCTAACCCTCAGGGACCCCACCACCATATTATAGAGCCTTTTGCACTGGATATTGCATCTCAATAGAAGACAGCAATAAAAGAACAACCCGCACCTATTGACAAGGACCTATTGAGAAGATTGGATCAATTCGATGAGTTTATGAAAAAGAATCAATGATTGAGCAAACATGATGGATTGAACTACAATGAATTATGTTTTTTTTCCAAATATTCAGCTACCGTTGGGATTTAAAATCCCTAAATTCAGCAAGTATGACGGAACTGAAAATTCTAAAACGCATCTCAAGATATTTGCTAACAAGTTAGATAAGCCGGTGGGTGATGAAAGTTTGTCTATGTGTCTATTTTCAGAAAGTTTAGAGGGAGACGCTCTAGATTGGTATTCAAATTTGAAGTCTGAGGAGGTCAAAACCTGGTTGGATCTGTCAACAGCTTTTGTGAAGCAATATGAATTTAACTATAAGTTGGCACCAACACGTAAAACATTGGAGAACACGAAAAGAAAGCCGTCGGAAGATCACAAGACCTACGCAAAGCGGTGGAGAAAGTTAGCTGTCAAGGTGGAGCCTCTTATGACTGAGGAGGAGATTGTTCGTATTTTCATCAAAACTTTTGATCCACCCTACTTTGAAGAGATCTTTCACATGACTCGAAATTCGTTTGCTGCTATTAATAACAAGTTGGAGAAATACGATGAGCTTGTCAAAGTAGGAAAAATTGTTAATGTATCGGCATTAAAGTTGCAATTGGATGCTCTACAGAATCAAAGCAACAATAGGAACAAACCCCCATTCAAGAACAAAGAAGGAGAAACTGCTTTTATATGGGATCAAGACCCGTCTTTCAAACCCAGAATCGGAAATCATCCCATCTATTCTGTTCCTTACCCACATTACCTTAACCCTCAACCAGTCTACCACACTACTATCCAATTTCATCATTCCCAACCAAGTCACTTGAATATCTCACCATTATCTCCAACCCCACAATCTATCATTCAAAATTACTCTCATCTTGTTTACCAATCCAGACCAACCTTGCAAAACAATAACCCTTCTCAAAATCTTCTTCAAACCAGCAAAATTCAAACTCAGAAGCAATTTCGAACATTCATCAATTTGGACCGACCTATTGATCAATTGTATGAGCAACTAAAGGCAGTTGGAAAAATTGGCATCGTTTCTCCCAATCTCTATCCCAGAGGTCCTCCTCTCGGTTATGATCCTCGAGCAATCTGTACTTATCATTCTGGAAGTCCAGGTTATACCACTGATAATTGTTGGACTCTAAAACATAAGGTTCAGGACATAATTGATTCTGGAGATATTCTTCTTGGAAGAAAGGGAGAACATGGATCGAATGTCAGTAATAATCCTTTACTTGAGCATGGGAGTACTATGGGGGTTATCATCGCTCATAAGATTTTATCGATTCTACTCAATATATTGTAGATGAAATTGAGGTGTTTGGGGTAATGGAGGCTGATCATGCGAAAATGAGAAAACTGTCGTCTGTTGAAGAGTCCATAACTAATGATAATGTTGAGGAACAGTTGAAATCTTTTGTGTGTAAAAAAAAGGAGCCATTTATAGTGGAAGGAAGGCCTTCCAAGGTTGACAATTCTAAAGTTCCTTTTATTCTGGATCTATCATTTTTTGAATGGGATATATCAGAGCCAGTCATTCTCAAATTTTCGGAATAAATGCCTGTTAATAACTTGCAAGAGGTGCCATGGAACTATGAGGAGCCTATTCTGTTGATTGGAGATAAAAAATGCTTAAAGGAAGAGGTATCTACTATTACCATGTCTGGGAGAATTGTGGGAAACTCCGAAATTGATGTTCAATCCAGAGCCAAGGTTAAATCTCCGACACCCAAGCCTCTTGTATCTGAAAATGAAGTTGTAGATTTTTTAAAGATGTTGAAGAGAAATGAGTATAAAATAGTAGAACAATTGGATGGGATGCCTGCTCAAATTACTTTTGTGAATCTTTTCTTGACCTCTGAATTACATAGAGAAGCATTACTCAAAATCTTAAATGAGTCTCAAGTGCCTAAAGATATCCCGGTGAATAAATTTTATAATAGTGTGGGGAATATACTTGCTGCTAATCATATCACATTTTTCAATGACGATCTGACCACAGAAGGGATTGGGCATAACAGAGCCTTATATATATATCAGTCCGTTGCAATGAAAAGCTGTTGCCGAGAGTCTTAGTGGATAATGGGTCAACGTTGAATATCTGTCCATGGAACACTCTCACTAAATTTGGATTTGTTGACATCAAACTCCGTCCGTCTGTAACTATGGTTCGAGGATTCGATGGTTCAAGGAGAGAATCTATGGGTGAAACAGATCTGGTATTGGAGATAAACCCTGCTCAATTTTAAGTTACTTGTTAAGTCATGAATTTCTTCAGTGTTTACAATATTTTGCTTGGAAGATCTTGGATACATGTTTTTAATTCAGTGTCATTTTCTCTGCATCAAATGTTGAGGTTTATTATGAATGATCAGGTCATACTGTGTTTGCCAAGGATGACTGTACCAAGATCGTTGATGCAAAATTCAAAGGTGAAGGCAGAAAAAAGACTCCAATCTCATCTCATCATGTCACTGACATCGTTTCTGTGCGATGGGTATCCAGAGATAAGTCGCTGACTAAATCAGATTTGTCAGAGGCCAGTATTATGATGTCTAGAAAGATGATCCGAGGAGGATATGAAATAAGAAAGGATCTTGAACAGGAATTGCAAGAAATTTTGGAGCCAATAGAGATCCCGATGCAAAAAAAAATATTTGAACTAGAATTTCATCCAACTGCAAAGGATAGAAGAGAAATGCAAGCTCGAAAACAAGCTGAAAGGAGGGTAAACAAACCGCCTTAAATGTCCCCCCGCTATATCACATATTTTCTCGCTTGTCAGAGGCGATTCTGTCAGAAAAAAAGGTTCCTGTTGAAAAAGTTGAAGTGGACTTATCTTAATTATTTGTCGAGGCTATTTGTGGGGAGGAACCGTCAGAGAATTCAAAATTTTTTTTAATTATCGAAGGAGTTATCCAAAATTGGACTGCTGATTATCTTCTCTTTCGAAAAAAATTTCGATAAATTTATTGGATTGTCTTTTGTCTAGATCATATCCAGATAAGACGGTAGTCTAGATCTTTTGTTAAAAGAAATTATTTTCATTTTTTAAACTTTTA